GGGCTGCTCTGGGTTTGGGCCTGCAGATTTTACCCTTTTTCTCTCTTCCTGTCTCCTTTACCATGATGGATGGGATTACCTCCTCCACTATAATGTTACCATTTGCCTGGAAAGCTATTCATTTACAAGGGTTGATTTTATAACAGTTTACACTGATTTTATTGCCCGCAGTTTTCCCATGGATTCTTTGGGTTTGCAGGTCTGTGATCCAGTTATGGATCACACCTTCCTCTCCCATGTCGTGCCTCACTGCATCCTCCTGTCTGGCAGATTCATCTAGCATTGCCCACACAAGGCTGGCACAGGCCAGCTCAGCGGTTCTGTGGCCTTGCACCTGTGCTGCCTGGGAGAAGGGCAGCTCAGATGGAGGAGCTGGGAGTGGTGACCACAGGCAGCCATGCTGTGACTGAAGGGCCAGGGTCACTGTGGCTTGTCCCCTTGTCCCATAGCCAGCTCTTGGTGCCACCCACACTCCAGGCTCCTATGGGCTTAGCTGAGTGCAGACATCTCCCAAAACAAGGACGTGCTCCCTCCTAATCACCGTGCCATGACTACACTCAGGAAGCCAACACTGACTGAGGCTGCTATCTTGATCAACTTGCAAAACTTGTTCAGGTGCTATCAAAGGATCACGCCAATGTTCTTCGTGGCCAAGAAACTCATGTGTATGTGCACATTCAGGAGCTCTTTGTGTACCCAACATACAAGTCCTTGGGTCTGGATCTGAAATTCCCCAGAGGCCACGTGTTGAAGGCCCGCCCTCCCTGTGTCACTCTGGGCAGTGATGGAGGAGCCAGGTCCCTGGAGTGCAGCCTCGAAGGTGTTGGGACTCTGTCTCCTCCTCTCTCTCTCTCTCTCCTTCCTGCCTGCCATGAGGTGAACAACCCTCTTCTCCCGGGTCCTACCACCATGATGTGCCACGTACCACAGGCCAGGCAACAGGGCAACGTGGTCATGGAGAACCTCTAAAGGTGTGGGCCAAAATGAACATTTCTCCTGCTGAGTCGATTCTCTCAGGTATTTTGTCACAGTGATGGAAAGCTGACTGACACATCCCTCATCAGATATGTGGTTTGGAAGTAAGTTCTCCCAGTCTGTAGGTGGCTTTGCCCCTCCCTCCCTTAGTATTGCAAGATGGCAGTGCTCCCCAAAGTGATCTGCAGATTCAACCAACACCTACCAAAATCCTTCCTTTCATTTTTTTCTTTTCCTTCTTTCCTTCTTCCCTCTCTCCCTCCCTCCCTTCTTCCTTCCCTCTCTTTTCCCAGAAATGGACAGATGTCTTAGTCTGCTATAACAAAATAGCATGGATCAGGCAATGAAGACAGGAATTTGGTTCTTTGCTGTTCTGGAGGCTGTGAGTCCAGGGATGTAGTGCTCAGAGCCTTCTCTCTGGGGCTGTGAGGGAGGGCCTGTCCCAGGTGGCTCTCCGATTGGCCAACAATCATCTTCTCCTGTGTCCTCACATGATCTTTTTCCTCCGTGGATACTTGTCTGATGTCCAAATTTCTTCTTCTTGTAAAGACACAGTTGTGTTGGATTAGGGCCACTCTAATGACCTCATTTTAACTCACTCTCATCTTTGATGACCTTATGTCCAAATATGGCCATGCTCTAGGGCCCTGGGGACGGCAACACATGAATTCAGAGACACAAAGTGACCCTAACAGCCAGGCTGAGGAAGTTTTCATCCATGTTAGTTTGTTGGTTATTTTCATCGTGAAATGGTGTAGATTTTCGCCAATACTTTATCTGTGCCATGGAAATGAGAGTTATTGTCCCTTGTTTTTTTCTTTCTTTTCTTTTTTTGTCTCTTTGAGACAGGGTTTTGCTATGCAGTTTAGGCTGGCCTTAAGCTCACTTTGTAGCCCAGGCTGGTCTTGAACTCGCAATGATCCTCCTGCCTCAGCCTCCCAAGTGCAGGGATTACAGGTGTGCACCACCACGCCCAGCCATTGTCACTTATTTGTAAGATGCTGACTTGGTTTCTGGATGGAAACCAACTATGCTCCTTGTGGGCAGATGCCACAGTCCTGGTGCCCAGTGCTTCCTGTGGGCTTTGCCACTATGCTGCAGAGGGCTGCCTCTTTCTTCATAGGGATACTGGTCTAAGGTTTCCTTCTGAGGTGTGGTTTTCTTCTACCCGCCCTGAGTGTGTCTCCTCGCCGCTGGGCCATGGGCCATAGTAGACACCTGAGAGTTCAAGCTGCCCACTGATTCCTGCTGTGGCCACCTGGACTGGGGGACAGCTGTGCTAGGCCAGGCACTGGGCTCACTGGGTGGGCCGAGGAGGTGGGTGGTAGGGGCCTAACCTGGCCTCTCTCCAGGGCCCTGGAGCAGCCATTGCCCTACCTTCTTCTGTAGAGACAGGGTCAGGTGCCAGGACCACTGTGGGAACAGAGAAGGACAGTGGCTGACTCCTTTCCCTTGCACTCTGTACCCCAGGGTCTCAGGACAGGAGCCGGACAGACATGGGGGCTCAGAGAGGCATTGGTCCTTAGCCCTCAACTCTTGACCTGCACAGAGCAACCCTGGCCCCAGAGCTATAGGCACAGGTCCTGCCTGGGCTCCCTTGCGTGGCTCTCCCAATGTGGAGCTGGACTGCCTGGTGCCCCTCACCAGGAGCAAAGAGCACAGCCCCGAGGACGCTGGGATGGGGCGCACACACATTTCCATTCCCTCTGTCCCGGTGCAGCTGCTGCCAAGTTTCAGTGCCGACCACAGCTCAGCTCTAAGCACTGAAACCACAGTGGCTGACCAGGGCCTGCAGGGTGCGCAGTGGGGAGGCCCCGGCCCAGCATCCACGATGGCACTGAGCCTGCTCGGGAGTGCGAGAGCCCTGCCCTGCTGCCCTCCCCACCTGTCCCTGCGGTGTAGCAAATGCTCTGCTTGGGAAGCACAGATGAAACAAGGGCACCAGAGAGGGTGGTAAGGAAAGGGAAGGGGAAGAACACCATGCTCAGAGGGCAGGAGGGCTCCTTGCGAGTACGAACATGGAGAACTGCCAGGGCTGGGGCGCAGCTGCCCATGGCAGAGCAGAAATAACGAAGTATCAGACCTGTGAAACAGAGTGGACGACTTGCAAGACAGAAGCACATCAGGCACCAGCTCCAGGCAGAGTGGGATCTTGTTACTTGATGCAATTAGACTTAGAGCCCATAGATCTTTTTTGTTAAGTAGAGCAGTTCAACTCAGTTGGTTGCACTGCCAATGCTTGTGTCTCTCAAAGTTCTTACGTTGGAATCTTCAACTGCTGTGGTGGTGCCCAGAGGCGAGGCCTTCAGGGAAACTAGGTCTTGAGGGTGAAGCCTTCGCAAATGGACTGGTGCCCTAGTAAAGGGGTCCCAGAGTGCTCACCCCAGGACACAGCAAGCAGGAGGCATCTGTAACCCAGAAGGGACTGGGCTGCACCAGGACCGCTGTGACAAAAGGTTGAAGTTCTCAGCACCTGAACTTTGACAACACACTTCTACCCAGCACAAGTACGTGCTGTACTAGTAAGGACTGAAACAGCATAACCATGAAAATATTCTTCCCTCCCCAGGGCTAAGGTTTGAGGGCCTCTGTAGAAGCTGAGAGAGACCTTGACAGTTTGCAACTTGAGGGCACAACTGTGAAACTATACAGGTTCCCGAAGGGTCAACAGACACCAGGCGTCCTGGGAGAAGATTCCCAAGACACTTAGGTCGGCTGTCCACACCCCTCTGCCCAGGTTTACCCCTCATAATGATACCCGTCTCCACCATCACGCACAAGTCCTCTTGGAAACTCGCCACTTGACAGTGCACTCAGTGATCTGAATAAACTCTCCTCTTTCCCGAATCCCTTGTCTGTTGGTAAAAGGTTTTTACCATCTGTGTCACCGGCCCTCCGCACCCATCTGGCCTGGCACCCTGATCTCTGACTGCCATCCTGCAGATGTGTGAGAAATTGATTTCTCTTGATAGTAACCACCCAGTGCAGGGCACTTCATAACTTGGCGTGCATGGACTAATATCTTGGTTTATGTTAATCAGACCCATCAGAACTGTTACTAATTACCTCATCCCCACCCAAGGTGGAAAATATATTTTTAAGTGTTTAAGGAGACAAAACTTCAGTACATTAAACAAAAAATGACATTCTCCAGTTAACTGCAAAAAATGTTTTAAAGCATTAATAAAAAACAGGACAAGCCCTTGAAGAGGACAGTGGGACCCCTGGCCTTGATCATAAAGGAATGGTTCTGTTCCGCCTCACTTCCCATGGGTGCTACCACACCCCACATGCGAGGGGCCAACCTGCCATGGACATGAAGCTCTCAGGCTGTGAGCCAGGGCAAACCTTTACTCTTTCCAAGTTTATGGCTTCAAGTTTCCGTTATGGGTATGCAGGATTAAACCTATTCCTGTCAAAATGATTCTGCGCCTAACTTTGCGGTATGCCTTTAATACCCTCTGCATTCTGAGTCAGGCATGGGGACTGTCCTGTCATGGATCCAGTGTCTGTGAAGTCACTGCTGAACCTCCGTCTCACACAAACTCTAAACTGTCTACTCAGGTGGGAGGGGCTTGTCCACAGTTCTGACCGTGTCCAGGCTGGTGTGGCTGTGCCCGGGCTGATGAGTTCACCCCAAATCAGAGCAGGCAGAGCAGCATCTATGGAGGGGAGGCTGCACGAGGCCTCCACAAATGTGTTCTGTGTCCCATGACACTGCACCAGCGTCCCTGCTGGGCTCAGGCGTGCTCTCTGGTTCTGGGTCACACAGAAGAGGCACGTGACACAAAAGACAAGTTTAGCTGCAAGTTTGGGGGTGCTGACTCATGCAGTTCTTGTTTTTGTAGGTGGCTGTGCAAATAAAACAGAAAAGAGCTTTGGAAGGTAGCAGAGAGAGTGAGAATAACCTTAATCTGTGGCGGGGAGAAAGAACCCGGACTCCACTCGACAGGCTGGCCACAGGTGCTGGTCATGGGTGCAGCCCCCTGCTGGCCACAGGTGTGCGGGCAGAGAAGAGCCAGAGGCAAGGGCACATGACATTTATTAACTCCAACACTGAGTGCCAAGGGCTTCCTGGACGCCGCCATGAGACACCCCAGGCAGCAGACCAGCAACCTCTGCCCCCACCCTGCTCCTCAGGTCACCCCCAAGCTCTTCCTCTCCCAGGCACTCCCTGCAGGTGCAGGAAAGACACCCTGACTCTAGCACATGACCCGGAGTGGAAACATGAACCCAGACATCAGGGCTCTGAGGGGAAACTGAGTCAGCATGATGCGGGGAAGGAGGGTGTCCAAGTGCGGGGGAGAACAGGTCACAGAAGTGCTGACAAAGCAGCCAACTCTTAAAACAGACAGTCACACTGACACTGAGGAACAGGTCTCTAAGACGCCACACAGAGTACCATGAGGCATTAAAGTAACCAGCACAGCATGCGGACGCAGGGACGGGCACAGCTAACTCGGGGCGTGGGCGTGGATGTCTGTGCCATGTCCACAGCACACGTGGGCTCTGCTAGTAAAGAAAACGCTCTATTCATGTTTGCAGGAGGGGCAGGCGGCCAGTGAGGCTGCAGGCTTGAGCATCAGGTGTGCAGGATGGAGGGTCCTGGGCGGGACTACAGCGCACCCATCCCGGTGACCTCGGACGTCAGCCTGGAACAGACACAGGCACATAGAGGCCCCGTGAGGCAGTTAGCAGTGAGGCAGGCAGGGTGACCCCCTCACAGCCCCCATGTGCCCCTGGGTCCCCAAAGGGGCGGTAGTGTGCTAGAGGACAGCACAGTCTGGTGAGAGGCCTTTCTCCCCCGCCAGCAACCCCTGCTGCCTGTTGCCATGTTATGGCGCCCTGACAGGGGCTTCAGCCTCTGGAGCTCCCTCCTCTGGCTGAGAAGGGACTCATGCTTGTCACAGGGATGACTGAGTGTGAGAGGGGTCAGTGTCCTGTACCACCGGAGCAGGTTCCAGCAGTGCTGCTGCCCACGGGCAGGGAGGCATGTGCCAGGCTCGGGAAGTCTGGACCCCTCCAGGCTGAATCACCCCACCCAACCAGGTGGACAGAAGGTGCCAGACTGGCCCTGCAGGTGTCAGTGGGGGAGAGCAGAGATGGAAAGGGGAAGTCTGGGTGGGGGGTCCTGGTCTTCCCTGTGCATCCTCGCTCCTCGCTGGCCTGGAGCTCAGCACCAGGACAGCGAGTTGTGTGGCCCGTGGGGTTGTGTCTGCCCACCAGCGGTCTGGCTGGGGAGCACGTGTCCTTGTGATGCCTGGGTGCATCTCAGCTCTGCGTGTGGGGTGTGAGTTATAATGGGCTCATCTTGATTCTGGGCAAGGCCGTGGAAGGAACAGGGCCAGGGCCTGTACTGTCCCCAACCTATTCTGTCCTGTGTGAGTGGGAAGAGGGAGGACCAGAGAGCAGAGGCTAAGTCACAAGTGCCCGTGGGCCAATCCACACGGTGGAGGGGCAGCCTCCAGGGGTCTCCTCCTGGCCAGCCTGGATGCCCCTTGCTCCAGCATCTTGGCTCCTCACAGGTGACTTTCAGGTGATGGGGTGGCCATGTCTCTGTGGAGACCATCTCTGTAACAGTTGTCCCCATGTCCAGCCAGGAAGGTGAGAGTAGTTGGCCTCCCACCTGCCTTCACTCTGTCTAGGCCAGAATGTGGGGCCCTGGACGACTCCCCAGCAGAGTCACTCACCTGGCGTTGATGAGGTACTGGGCAAGGCTGATGTTGGCCGGGGTCCCCGTGATGGTGATCTGACGCTCTGACGACCCTTCAGTGGCATTGGCGATTTTGATCTGAGCCCCGGACATCTGACGAATTTCATTGATTTTGGTCCCTTGGCGTCCAATTATGCAGCCTATTAGCTAGAAAAGGAGGGGGGAAGTTTCTCAGAGGAGAACCCAAGAGAGCCCTGCAAGACACCTGTAAGAGTCCCTGAGTTCCCCAGGAGGACAGGGTACTGGCCTCCATCTCTACCCTTGTCCTGGAGCTCAGTGCTTCTGGAGAAAGGGGTGCTGCCAGGCTGAGCCCTCTGCTTAGAGACCGTCTGTGAAAAGTCCATCAGACCAACAGCTGATGGCCACATGGCCCCAATCCTTCAGTCCTGTCAGGAGTGGCCAGTGATGGGCCAGACAGAGACTGAGTCAGGACCTGATGGTGGCCAAGCCAGGCTGGCGCCTTCTTGGCTGCTGCTCGGATGGGAACAGCTCCGCCCCAAGAGGAAGCATCACATGCACTGGCTGAAGGAGCATGTGACACACATTGCCACAGAGACCTTGTCTTTTGTGAGCTCAGATGAAATTCTGACAGCACATCAGGTAGTCACTTCCTTTTTACTCTGTAACCTCTGAAGCAGTGGAACAATGGTCTAGGGCCAAGGAAGGTGTCAAAAGCAGGGCCATCTGAAGTAGCATGGGCCAGGGCAGGGCTACTTGGGCATGGGGACAGCAACTTGGAGGTCAAGGCCTCCCTCTGGTAGCAGCTGCAGCTGTGTAGGCTCCTTCCAGCCCACCCTGGTGTTTTGGTGGGGACAATTTGGACCCCAGAAAGACTGCAGAGGGGTCAGCTGCCATCCCTCAACTTTCACCATGGGTAGAACAGAATCTTCAAGGCCATACATGGGCCCTACTGGAGTGAGAACAGGAAAAGGAAATGGCCAGGGAGGAAGTGGCCAAGAGCTGCAGCAGTGGGCACGTGCCAGTCCTGGATAGCTTAGGTGCTCTTGCCTGCCCCCTTGCCACCGTGGGCACAGTTAGAGTTGTGCTGAGGTCGAAGATCAGCAACACGCTCCTGCTCCTGTGTGTGGTATAGCGAGACGCTGCACAGAAGGGCCAGGTGGGCTGTAAGAGGGTGCAGGACAGAGAACTCACTTCAAAGCCTCTGTGACAGCAACAGGGCACACCTAGATGGAACCAGGTGCTGCATGAACTGGCTCCTGTCCGAGGAAACCTTCAGGATGTCCATTCTGCTCATGTTCAGGCATTCCCTGCTGAACCTAGGTTAGGACCAGCTCTCACTGGGCCATGATAATCAGGTCCTCCTGAGCATGGAGGGAAACCTCTGTTCGTGGCCCCTGAGGCCAAGGGTCATGGCTTCCTAACATGTGTGGCCTCATTAGCCTGTTTGGCTGTGTCCCCTTGCACTGGCACAAAGATAGCTTGTTTCATCTTTCACAGGGCCAGGTGTGAGAACTGGAAAAGGTGTGACTGAGAGCCCCTGCAAACGCCCATGTGCGGGGAGAGCACAGCACCCAGGAGGAAGCCCCATGTCCCTCCTCCATTCCCAGCCACTCCTTCTGCTCTCCGTCCTGGCATCATCCCATTTGGGTGTGGGTGGCACTCACTGACCTCTCAGGTGCCCCTTGCTTACTTGTTGTATTTCCCCAGCAGCTGAGGGGCACTGAGGCCATGCTCCCCTGTCTCCTGACAAGTACTCTCCCCTCCCCTCCTAGGGCGTGGGTGGAGGGAAGCTCTGCCTGCTGTTCCACCATCAGAGTAGGCCAATCCCATCATGGCCAGCGGCAACCCAGGGTGCCCCCTCACCTGGCTTCGCTCGGATCTACAGACGCTGCTGTACACAGCCCCAAACTCACTGTGCCTTCACTTTTGCATCCATCCCTCCATTAAAAATTTAAAGAAAAGCAACAGAAATGTTCTGAAGCAACTAGGTGTCGCCAAGCTCCACAAGAAAGGCTCTTGGTACTTAGGGCAGAGTGCAGGGGTCTGGACACCAGAGGTAAGAAGCAGAGAGCAAGCTCTGAAGGAGGCCGTGGGGAGCCCACACTGACCATCAGGAGTGGACCAAGGGCCCAGCCTGTGTCTCCAAGGCCCTGCTGTGCACTTATGGGTGCACACATCCTGTCATCGGGTGCCTTTCTGCATCTGAGCTAAAGTGACCTGAAGACAGCGGCATGATCCACCTGTGACCAGGGGGCAGACTTGGTCATGGTGACAGTAAGTGTTGGGAGCACAAATGCACGATTAATTGTCTTCTTGGTCTCTATGAAGGTAGCAGCAGCTGCAGAACCTTGGCTCTGTGGATGATGTTTGTTGTTTGAAGCCTGACATCCCTGAGAGGTCTGGGTGGGCAGGAGGCCATCGAGGGCCCTCCACATAGGATGATGTGTAGCAGAGGGCACTGGGTGGCATTGGCTGCCCTCCCAGAGAGTGCCCAGGAGGGAGACAAGGCATGCAGCTGCAGGGAGCAGGTTCTGTACTCCAGCTCTCCAAGAGGTCCCATCTGTACGTTCCTTAAGTCCATTTCCACCTTACAGTGAATGCTAGGACTGGAGTGGCTATCCACGTGCTAATGGAACAGTGCTGTCAACAAGAGGCCCAAGGAAAAGCCCCGCTTAGGGAGCACACATGGCATTCGTCACTTGGGTCCTAAAGGGTACAGAGCTGAAATCTCTAGCCTCCGAGAATGCAGGGGCAGGTGATCCTGTCGACTCAGCCCAAGCTCAAAAACATTCTTGGGAGCTGAAGGCTGGTCAGCGAAGGTGCTTGGAGTGAATGTTATGCAGCTCTACACAGATAGGGATTGTGTCTTCCAGGCAGCAAGGCAGAAGGCCCGGAGCAGCTCTGCCACCTGTGCAGAGGCTGCCCCTCAGCCCACCATGAGCCCTGTGAGGAAGGTGCTCCTGAAGGTCAGCAGTCCTGGCCAGAGTCTTGCGGCCCCTCCACTGCCCACTGCTTTCCTGGCTCCTGCCCTATAGCCCTACAGCCTACCATCCACACTTGGGAAGGGAGCCCTAGAGCAACCAAGCTTCCTGCAGTAGCTCTCATAGGGAAGGGGCAGGATCCAGGCTTCCTGTCCAGCTGGGCTGAGGGGCAGAGCAGGGAAGGTTCCTGAGAGTCCAGCTCCAGGGCACACATGAACTGGAGAGGGGGCAGCCACTGCTTGGCCCACACAGGGCCCTCTCCTTCCTGGCCTCTCAGCCTGGAAATGATCCAAGGATTTTAGGGAAGGGTCCTCCTGTTCAGCCCAGGGAGGACTAAGGGGAAGCCCAGAGCCTCAGGATGAGCAGACCCTCAGCACTAGACACAGGATCCAGACAGACCTGTGGCTTCTAGCCCACTTCCAGCCCACTGGCCCAACAACAGAGTCTCAAACCTCAGGAGAGGCAGGCCTGGTGGGGCAGCAGTGCGGAGACTTACTCAGGGCATTCCTGGGTCACCCTGCCCTTCAAGGCTGGACCTTGAGCTAGGGCAGTGACTTGCCAGCCCAACCCTTGATGAACCCTGAAGTCACCAGTGCCCCTTTCTTGTTTGGTATCTTAGAGTGCAAAATCACACATTTTGTAAGCATTAGACCATGGAAAATGGGGGAAAAAAGAAAAAAAAAATCAAACAAGGGTCGGGACCACAAGGTGTCACTAAGTAGTGGGTGGCAGCTGCCCATGCCTGGTGTCTGGCGGGAGGACAGTGGGACGGGCGGGCACAGGGTATACTCACATCATTGGGAATGGTGAGCTCGTGAGTGCTGGCCGGGGGGCTGGCATCCAGACCTGGGCACAGCAAGGGGACAGGGTTAGGCTGGTGGCAAAGCTGCTCACAGTTGCACCCCAGGCTGGGCGAGGTGGAGCAAGGGCTGGCCCAGGGCCCTCTAAGCTCCCAGCCCCGTGACAGCCCAGCCTCCTGAGCTTCAGTTTCTGTCAAAAGGAAGTGGAGCCCCAGCACAGTGACATTTCACCCCTCCCTCTGGCACACTGTGCCTGTGCTCCCATTTGTAGAACCTGCCCCTGGGCACGAGGAGGGTGTCCACCATATCTTGGGCCTCTGTGGCACCCAGGGCACAGGCCATGTTGCCATATTGAAACCAAGTGCTCATCCCCTTCAGCTCATGGGATACCTTGCTGGCTCTGAGCACTGTTCTGCTTTTCTCTGTGCATCCCCCTCCCATGGCCCTGCTGGAGGTGGCTGGTGCCAGAGTAGTGCTGTTGATTAATTTTGTCCAAAGGCTGGACAGCTGGGGCAGCCAGGCCCACGCAGGGCTCTGTAGCCTGCAGCAGGGAGACCTGATCGCCAGCTCAGTCAGAAAGGAGCTGGTAGGCCAGCGAGAAGCCCCATTTCTGTGTGGGTCTCCTTCTTATGCTGAAGGATGAAGACGGGGTCTAGATTAGCACAAGCCCAAGCTGTCATCCTAGCATGGATCAGACTGTACCACCAAGTAACAGCTCCTCAGAGTCCATGGGCAAGCTTGCCTGTGCCTCCAAACCAGCGACAACAGCACAGAGGGTCCCGAGCTGGAAGCCGTCACGGCCATCCCTTTAGGGCTTTTTCTGGAGAGGTGGCTCAGACTAAAGTCTAAAGCTGAGCCCTGCTCTTGTCTCTCCTAGACCTTGAGAGGCCCCCGACATTGGGGCCAACCAGACCCAAGCCTATCATCCCTTCTAATCACTAGCCCGCAGCTGTGCCCCACAGGTATCCCAGGACCGGGCCTCCACTGGACCCCTGTGGGCCTCCCCGTCCTTGCACTCAGTCCCATCTGCACGCAGACCTAGGCAGCCCCCGGACAACCCCAGCAAGCCCCTGCCTCCTCAGGGTACACCTCGCTCTCCAGCTCTGAGTGCAGTCTCACTGCTCTCTCCCTGGTCCCTGAGGATCTGCAGTCCTCACCCTGCTGAAGTGACCCCGTGGGCAGCATTCCGGCACGGTGGGGCAAGGTGGCGGGTCGCCATGAACCAACTCATGCTGGATTCTGTTTTCTTTTACACGTCTAAACTGGAGTTTCTGTTCTTTCCCTTGTTTTACTGACAATCTTTTCAATACAAAGTTTTAACTACACACACTCCATAAATGGTGACATCTAATACATCAAGTAGAAGATTTCTTAGTCCTGTCTGCATCCTGGAGAGAAGCCCTAGGTCAGCTCAGCATGAGCATGGAACAGCTGTCACACATGTGGGACCTGAAGAGCTGCAGAGGGGGAACGTGGCACACCCTTTTTAAGGAGCACTGAAATTAAAGGGGCAGTTTAGGACACAACTATTTAAAGCAGTGTTCATTTATCTGGGGGCACTACAGCCCCAGAGCCAGTGCTTTCTCATGTTAGAAGCCCAGTCCCTCAGCACCTGCAGTGAGCCCTGTAGCTGCCCCAGGCCACACCGTCAAGACCACACTCTCCTGAAGACACACCCCTCGCAGAGGCCACACCTCCTCCAGAGGCAGTACCCTCCCCAGCTCACACCCAGCACAGACTAGTCACTGAGGCGACTCTCCTCAGGCCACACCCCTCAAGGACACATCTCACACCCTCTTCACCTGCACTGTGGCCAGGCTGGTGAGCCCTGCTGGTCTCTGGGGCCTTGGTTAGGGAAGGTCATCACAGGGTGACATCCTGGCAGCCCAAAGCCCGCCTGGGGTGAGGAGCTCAGGTGTTTCCACGCAGGAATGCAGGGAACTCTCCTCCCGGACAACTGTTTTTTGAAGCCTTAGTCACCGAGTCTATGGGTCTGTGCACCATTCGCAGTGTGCTAGGAGCAAGAATCTTACTGCCACAGGGCGGAGTCTGACAGATCAGTATACTCAGCTCCAAAGAAACACGTTTTTGGAAGCACACATTGGTCACTGCTTCACTACGCGCCCCACATGCTGTGGCACCTGAAAACAAGGAGCACACAGGCTGCCCTCCCTGACTAGGCCACCTGCGGATATGGTGGCCAGGCTCTGAGCACGCTAGAGCCCCTAGCCCAGCAGACGAGCCCGCTATGGCTGGGCTCCAGGGAGCTGCGCACACTGTAGATGTGGTGCTGGGCACACGCGCGGTCCCCGAGCACTGTCTCCTGTGCTGGCCTCCCTGGCTGCTCTCCCACCCGCGGGTCTGCTTTACCTGACGACTGGCCCATCAGATTTTGAGCTTCTTCGGAGGAGTGTAAAGGCAGCTTTTCTCCTGGAGAGCAAAGAAGAGAGAGGTTTAATGTTTTGCCCTCAAGGAGATAAGCAAGGTCCCTTCAACTAGGGAAGCTCAAAATATGACTGGCGCAGTGCAGTTGACCGCATGTCCAGTGTCCTCACCAGCCACAGCTGGACAGCTCTGCCTCTGTGAGAGGGACCTGCTGCTCTGCTGCCTCACGCAGGCCTGGGCTGGGGCTGGCTCCTGTCACCGCTTTTCTGCCACTGGAGTGCCTGCTCCTGGGCTGCCCACACAGAAGCCTTCACGGGAAGGGCCATCGGGGATGTCAGCGGGCAGCACAGCGCGCTGCTGCACAAGCAGGGACCCTCAAAGGGTAGACGTTGCTTCACAGGCAGGGTGTGCGAGGCCGGGTGACACGAACCAGCCCATGGCAGAGACCGACCCCCGCCCGGCCACGGCCACGTGCAGCCCTGCGACAACTGCGCTGCTCGCTGCACTGTGCAAGGACAGTTCCGAGAGAAGTCCCCAGGTGAGAAGAGAAGGTCAGAAAGGGCAGCTGGGTACGTACCGGGGAAAGCGGGGTTGGTCTGTCCGAGGGGAGGAAAGGGGGTTTGCTGCATGGCCAACTGGTGGAGCTTGGTCAACTGCTGGGGGTAGGAGGGACATGAGAGCTAAGAAGGTTATCGTCATTGAGTACAAGTCACACCAAATTAAAAACGAAGTAACAGAACTTTGCACAGATAGAGAGGGGCCATGCGGACACATGGCAGACGCAGCAGGACTCAAGGACTTGGCCTGGTGGAACCAAGGAGTGGCTGTCAGCAGCATGGCCTGAACTAGCCACGCCCCCCTCACCAGACTGGCAGGAAGGAGGCTGGTAGAGGCTGTGGACCAGGGGCTGCACGGGGTGCTCAGGTCCACAGTGTGGGGCTGGTGGGGGTCCTAGGAGGCTTGCAGACTCACGCTAGCTCCTGTGGGGTCCAGACAGGCTGTCTCCAGCCTCACCCTGGGTCCCACCCCTTCGGCAACCTCTAGGAGCTTCCTGACAGCACCTTGCATGGGGCTACAGGGTGTGAGGGATGCCAAGGGGAGGGGGTAGGCTCTCCTCTGGGAGTAGCCTATAGGCTTTATTTCTTAGGTTAAAGCAGAATGATGAAAACAGGGTAAGTTTCCAATTAGGCTACACCTTAGAAGCAAAGGGCTGGCAGGGTGCTGGGAATGCCTCCATCCTTTGCAGGGTAAGGGGCTCTGGAACACAGGGCCCCGAGTTGGGTATGGAAACTTGTTCCTGGAGCTGGGCTGCAGGGTCGGGTGACTGTGAGACAGTAAGCAGAGAGAGGCAGGGAGCGGAGCTGTTGTCCCCAGTGCGAGTGGGTAGCTGTGAACTCAGGTCCCTGGATCCCGGAGACTGCACCAGGCAGTGCCCCACACAGCTTCCCCGTGAGCTCCTGCAGTTATGGGCACGCTGCTCCTGCACCCTTGCCAGGAATTCAGCCCCCAAAGGTGAACAGCCCAACCCCAAGAGGGTCAGGGGCACCCCAGCCCCTGCAGAGGGAGTGCGTTGGAAATGGGGCCTCTGGGAACTAGTTGGCCAGCTCGCACTTCCCATTTTTGTAGGAGGTCCCAACGAAGGAGGCCCCAGGGTCACACCTTGAGACACCTCTGTCAGATGAGCTCAAGACTACAGCAGCAACCAATGGGACAGCTGGTCTTCCCTGGCCGGGATCTCCAGGCCCTGGCCCTTTCAGAGGGCTGGTTTCTGCCTTTCCTAGGAAGAGGGCATGTGCCCACACAGGGACATCATGAAAGAAGTCCCCTAACAGGGGCTGGGGATTTAGCTCAGCAGCACAGCGCCTGCCTGGCAAGTGCAAGGTCATGAGTTCGATTCCCGGTACCAGAAAAAACAACAACAACAAAAAAGAAGTCCCCTAACAGCCCCACCAGTCCCTCTGCACTCAGCTGTTTCCTGAGCCTTGAAGCTCAGCACTTAGGTGTGCTGTTCAGGAAACCCAGACCCAGTCAGGATACCTGGAGCAGCTCTGGTGAGGGGCACGGTAGCCTGGGGTCAGCTTCAGCTCCAAGTCCCCTCAGAGGTTGTGTTTGGCAAGGTCTTGGGACGGACTGGAGGGCTCATGGCACAGTACCGCCTGGCATGGAACAGCCCAGCTGCTAGCTCCCCGCAGGTGAGGGCAGAGCCCGAACCACCTGTGTCCATGTCTGCCCTAGATGCCCAAAGGTTACTGCTAAGTGACCTTTGACAGATGGCACTTCAGCTACCTGAGTGGATATGGTGGCCAGGGGCCAGGACGTCCTGTCACTAAATGATAACTAAAAAAATACCAAGATACCAGCCCAAGTCACAGTGGTAGGTGAGGGGGAGGACCTGAAGGGCATCAGGAGGGAGCGAGAGGACTGCACTCCTGGACACAAGTGTCACAGAGTACCCTGGGGCTGCAGCCTGCAGTGAGCCTTGGCCACCATGAGGGTTGTCCAGGAGAGGCTGGTATGGTGACCTGTGTGTGTAGCGGGCTGGGGATCCCCAGCAGCTGCACACCATCACACCTGCTAGTCCTGTGCCGTGTCCCTTGCCTGCCCACAATGTGCCCAACCAGGACAGCCTCTTCCATCCACCTGGTATTTCTAGAGACCACACAGCCTGTGCAGGTCAGGATGGCAGGGAGCTGGACACACCCTGGTGAAGGGGAAAGGCAGCTGGCTCACAACCAGGGTGTCAGGAGGGAACTTGCAGTCTCCTGGGCCTCAGCTCCCTCATGTGTACATGCAGTCTATCTGTGAACACAGCTTGTGTAGTGTGGGAGGCAGCACTAACCCCTGGGGGCCTCCCTCCCTCACTTCAGTATTCCCCACCTTGTTTTGATAACCAAATAAATACAGGCCTCCCAGAGAAGGTCTTTGCCTTAAGGCCCAGAAAAATCTCGAATTCTGTGAACTTTTGGGAGCCCTGAAATCATCTCATTTGTCTCATTTATTTAAGCCTTCGCCATCCACTCATTTGGAAGATTGTGGTCCTGATCAGTCTGCAATAACAATGGGATAATATTAACCTGATAT